ACTACACTCGATTTACTGGTACGGCACGGCTAAAATGAGTACCCGTGCCCATTTCATTCGTGCCAGGCCTGTGGTACTAAAATTGGGCACGGGTACCCATTTTAGCCGTGCCCTGCCAACAAATTGAGTGTCGTGTAAACGAGGCTTAAGATGAGAATATATTAGTTTATATTGGCAACAACTAAAGAGTTGTACAATTAAAGAAACCTCGTCAAAATTAATGATGACGAATAGAATTTACCGTGAATTATTGTTAGAATGATAATGTAGTATAAGAAAATTAACGAAAAGTTATCAGAGATGTGGCATTTAAATAATTTGGGATGTTTATTACATGCCGTTTTTTAATTTGGATTATATTGCTATTATAAATCAACCTATCACGCGTTTCCACGCAACATTTCCCCTTTAAATTGAATGTTGTTATTGTTCGTAAAGTAAACAAACGTATTGTTTTTATTTGAAACTGTTATATTTATTAAAATATGATGTATTGTTTGCAAAACTACCAAATTTTCATGCTATAAGCTTCGGAACATAGAATATTAAAAAATTAAATTATAATTTCTCTATGTAGAATTTTATATTATAGAAGAACCGATGCGCATGCATGCGGTAGGCTTTCAAATCCTCGCCGGATACGTGTGGACCGAACATGTAACCGTAAATATATTCTTGCGTTTTAAATATTCTTGGTTGGAAAACGAGCGTGATAGGGTAGTTGTACTCTATACACTTTGTGCTGAGTACAAAACATTTTCTAGTTAAACTTTATTAACACAATAACTCCATGATATCAGGATGAAGGCATCTCTTTATTGCCAAAATACTTCTACACTGGGTGCTTCTATAACTAAATTGTACACACTCAATACACTAAAAATTTAATGTTCTTGTATGAAAAGAATGCCGCGAATGGTATAATTTCTCAACCACACCCTCAAAGTCCCTCTTAGGGACTCCTTTCAACAATCAAAATTGTGTACATTCCGTAACGCTAAAAAATTCATTTACTTTGCACAAGGTGTCCCAAAAAATGTCCTCCTAAATTAAAATGAAGCCTTTGTCAGAAGATGATTGCCTTAATACTATGATAAACCCAATCGAAATACAAGCAAGCAAGACGCTTTATTTGAATGCGTCAACCTAGTAACTACAGGGTGTCCCAAAAAAAACGAAAACTATTGAAATCACTCATTGTTAAAATTTGAATGCCGTGTTCACGAATTACAGCCCGTGGGGATTTAATGCAACTTATAAATGCTAAATGCTTTGTGTTGCTAGAGAAAGGGGACATGTTTAAGGTCATGGTCCTTGAGATGCACATTTAAATAATGTTATCCATATTTGTAAATTGTAAATATTGTTAATAAATATCATTTTGCGAACAAGCAAATTTTACTGCATCATATGCATGCATAAAAATGACTACATGGCAAACATTTTTCACCTATGGGTCCCAACAGAGTGCTTAGGCATTCAAACTCTAACAATTGCATTGTTATGGGTGATTTCAATAGTTTTCGTTTTTTTTGGGACACCCTGTATATGCTATTTACACACTACATACTGCGTTGACCTTGCATTTAAATTCCAACAAAAGCTTCATTTCAATAGGGAGGACTTTTTTGAAGTAAAGTGAGATACAGCTTTAATGAGCTTTATCACTTATTATCTATACTTTGAATTGAATTTGATGCAATGTAGGGGTGTAGTCATTACAACAATGTTCTTGGGCTTTTTTGGCGTCATTAAGACTCATTTTCATACCTCAAAATCATCTCACACTTTGTTGAATCTCGGATAGCCGGCTCACGTAAACAGCCTTACAACCTCTCTCACCCATACAAAATGGCTTCGTTTAAGCTTCATTACCATCTCCTTATGATCTTATATCTATTGTATTCGAACGGGACCATGTAATCAGCCCATAACCGATGTAACCGATCCGGTATAAAAACAAAAGAACCCCGATTAACTATATGCAGTGTTTTACAATAACGGCAAAAAAAAATGTCCTCAGCATTAAAAACAATACACAATTAGTCGATATTCCTCTCATTATCAGTTGTTATGAGGCATTCGATGCAAATATGTGTGAAGCACCGTGTTAGAAACAGGCCCAATTCAAATGCATATCGCTTGACTCACAGTCAATTGCTGCATGATGCTAGTAAGAAAAGTTAAAAAATATATGCGACAATTCTTATATTATAAGAGTGAACATACATGATGTATTTATATTGTCGGATATATCAAGCTTTGGCGTTAAAGAAAACCGATTAATCCTGCAAACCTGGCAAGTTTGAAATTCCGAAGACCGGCATGCAAACATGTGCATGTGATCCTGAATGAACCTTCATCAGAACAAATCCACAATGTCTTTTAAAATATATATTCGTCTCATGGTAATTGGTAAGTCGAATTACATTTTTTTATAACTGATATCAAAAAGAAGCCAATTTGATAAAGAAAAGCCATATTGTGGCTCAGAGATCAATGAAAATAAGACAACTATATACATATAATTATTATGTACATGCATGCGTAAATTTTTATTGCAATATGTTTATCACAAACTGCTTTCTAAAGGCCTGTACTTCGAATACATTCCAGTAAATTAGTGCAATTATAATATAATCGTTTCGTACATGCATACATGTGGCTCTAGAAGTATAGATATGTTGTGCATGAACTTTCCAATAATTATAATGAATCGCCTTCGTGATTGGAGTCCATATTGATTAGGCGATCTACCTTGAGGTAGGCTTTGTTTTGGTCTTGGTCTCTTCTTTGTTTTCACAGCGGCCGTGTCACATATTATTCAAACACATATTGTCGTGTTGCCATGTATGTTTACTTTAATTTACAGCCTGCCTATCGGTATAAAACCTGCTGCATGGGATCAGTTGTACGAGTGCTGGCCATAGCGCTATCCACCGGATGGTGATTTTTCGGCAACCGTTCTAAAAATGCTTGAAGAGCAATAAAATTTCAGCTTTGGAACAAACAATTGTTAAAGAAGACCCTCAAATTTGGAATACTAAGATTTAATCAAAATTATTCCTATAACAAGCGATTGAAAAAAACATTATCCGAAGGATAGCGCTAAAAAGTATCGATGTGGTTTGGCCAGCCGATAAAAACGTATAATTATGACATACAATTAAATACCAATTTCCAGTTTACGCGGTATACGTCTTCAACATTTACTGTCACAGAGAATATCCCTGTGATGTATATATCCTAAGATCCTTCAGGTCAGGAGGAGCGAGGGTAAATCTGTCGCGCATGCGAACTCCAGCTGTTTAAAAGCATGTCGTTTTTCTACTTTGTGAGCGATTTGAAATTCCGGACTGCGATCTTATCGCGAAAACACTGCAAGATAATTTTTCACGTTTTGTTAGGTATCCTTACTCGTATTATGTGAAACACTTCAAGATCAAAATTATCTACAAAAATCCACTTACCTTCTCAATAAACAGCCGAATAAGAAAACCCGAAATGCCACGCAAACAACAGCTTAGCAAAATATAGGAATCTCGTAGAATCAGGACCCGGCACGAAATTAGGAAATAGGAGCAAAAGCAAAACATGAAAGCGAGGCGTCAATACGACATAGCATCCAGCCGTTACGTCACGATTATGAAGCATTCTTCTTTGTCCGGAACGCAATTATAACTTGGAACTTACCAACTCCGAAATAGCATTGTTGTGATAGTATAACTTTCTCCTTTTCTAATCAGCAGCTGGGGGAATTCCCTGCGTCATATTGGCTACAGCAGCGAGCGGGATTTTGTGATATCTCACCACATTCAGCCGGTATATCGTATTATATCCAGGATCAATATAATGATAAATAGTAGCTACTAAAGTTTCTTTAAACAGTATAAGAAGACCGCGTTGCAATTTGGTTTGCGATTGGTTGATCACAAACATCGGGAGACGACGTTGTGAGGTTGATTTATACTATCACATATCGGTGTCACCGAAAATTTAACCCCCCCCCCCGAAAGAAAGAAAAATTGCTAACGCGTTGCTGAGATGACATTACTGGGATAAAAATATGAAAAAAAATGTCATAGAAGTACTGTTCTTCCCGTCTTCAATCGAACTCCGCAACTGCTATATGTAAGACAGAAGTTGCTTTATTTTCAAGTTTTGTCTCGTGCCTTATATAATTCTATAACAACAAGTCGGCCATCTTTAATTGCGAAATCGTGGCCTTATGAACTATTATATTATATGTATTATTATACATTTCGTGTGTGTTGTCGTTCCTGATTGGTCAGAAAGCACCGGTTAATTTTCATTATTCTGTATCTATTAAGTAACTTCAGCTGCTGACGTGCTCAGCGTCCCGAAATTTTGGATCGAATTTGTATCCAAAAAACAATTATTGAACTGTTGATCGTTCCCATATCTTTGCGCGACAGCAACTTGAACCCAATTCTTCAAATATATTTGTCTGTAAATATACGATGTTAGTGCCATTTTGGGAAACGTTTTGATGTCGTATCATTTAGTAATCGTAGCAGGTGGCACCGCATTAAGCTACGTTGTATGCTAAGAGCTAAGCTGTATGCAAATATTAGCGAATGTGTGAAAGTTTTAATGAATAATGTACAGCACACGGTCAGTTCATTTTTAGCATGTTTGGATTCACATATTTAACAAAGCAAAATTAAAAACAAAAGCGCACAGTATTCTATTCGTACACACAGATCGATAAAGCTCAGTCCATTACCATTTATTTTATGGCAAGAGAAATTGCTTTAAAACTTTATTTAACCTTTACATGCATCCATGCAATAAAACCCATAAATGCTTGATAATTGCCTTGCAAAATTTGCAAACTCGTATGCTTTTGCTGCCAAAAGAGAAAGATAAAATTTTCAAACATACTTTTCTTATTGGTTGGAACGATTGGTTGGTTACACAAAAACTGAAGGAATATCGTTTCGCTAGTTTTATATGCTAAACATAAAATTTTACTGGTGAATAAAATTTACACTACAGAGTTGTTATAGGCCAGTCAAAACATGAGATGGTTTTCTCGTCACAGTTGTCTCCAAAGTAACCATCAGGACATTCGCAGGTGAAACGTTTCCAAGACGGAACAAACGTCGGTTGACAGGTTTTGTTTCCCGGACAGATATCTGATTTCTGACAGCAGTTATACTTCATGTAGCAACTTATGCCTGAACATTGGTCATCATCATTCTAAAGGGAAAAAAATATTTCAAAATTCCGTTCCATAACATCTCTTTCTTGTTTCCTCTCATTTAAACAACTGATATTATCAAACTCTTCTTAATGAAAATTGATAGCCCAAAAATAGCGAAAACTGAGGTCATATTCTGTTGCTGCCTCCTCCGACCTGCGCGGTGAAATGTTTATCATTGTCTTTTACTGGAACTTAAATCTTTGTCTTTTCATGAAACAAAGCTCATTTATGGAAAAGCAGTAAATTCTTAAACTCGCGTATGAGCATAAAGTGCTCTTATGACAAGAACAACATTGAAATTCGCATTGTAAATTAGTGAGATAAATATGCGTTAATATCCGTGCGTATAGTACCGCGCACGTGCGTTCCGTGGCGTAGCCAGGTTAGAAAATTTGGGGGGGGGGCAACAGTGAGTGAGGAAGCCACAAACTATCTGGGGGGGTCCGGGGGGCATTCTTCCCCGAGAAAATGTGGGATTTCTAAGGCTTGGAAACGCCATTTCCCGCATTCTGATACGAGCTTTTAAAAGTAATCGTAAGGCTACAAATGACAAAATTCTGTCATTATTACATTAGATCAACGAACAATACACGTGAAAATCTCTTTAGATTTACTGATTACTCGTTGCTTACCTAACTTGATCCCCCCTCCTCATATTCTCCTGGATTTAAAAATTTTCATGAAAACAGTTTTAAAGACAATTGGGGGGGACCGCCTCCCCCCTCTTGCCTACCGCCCCCCCCCCTTGCCTCCCCTTGGCTTACGCCCCTGCGTGCGTTCGAAAATCTACATTACTTCTTGAAATACCTGGAAAGTTTGCACCAAATCTCGCATTTGGTACGTGACGTAGACACAGCCTTTCTCTTCATGAAGCAATGAACTGTTTTCGTCCTTGTGACTTGAGAACAGTTGACATTGTGTATTCTGGCAAACCTGAAACGACTGACATCGACAATCCTCAAGGCAGTGTTCCAGACATTCTGCTATGCCTCCATTTACTATCATGTACTTTCCAAGTGAGAAAGATTGGTCAAATGCTTTGTTGTTGTCGACCGTCATGGAAAATTGTGGTTGACTCTTGAACATGGATGCGCTGCCTTCAGCAATTGTTGCCAACAGTGCGACGAATAAACTTGTAAAAATTAAACAAACAAACTCAAAACACGTGAAAAACTTCATAAACCCTGACCTAAACTTCACACAACTCTTTCGAAGAATGGTCGAAACTTTGGTCGAAACACTGCATGAGATATTTGTTGTGCAAATGGTTTAACTGTTGTAAAAAAATTGTGCAAACTGCTATGTGAAAGTACAGATTTTTTGACGGGAATATATACAAAGCGAGATAGCGTTATAATTTCGTGTGCGCTTCACAAATTCCGGGAGTACCACACTGATTAGGCAGTCAAAATAGTTCGACAAAATGAATACAGGCAGATTATGCTTACATAGGCCACTCGATCATTTTGCGTCTCATAATAATTTTTCACTCGTGTGCACCCCCATGCAAAAATTATCATGTTGATGCAAGTTGCCGGTTTAAAAAAGGTGAGCGAACAATGTTGTGTTTTATCCAGTGAACAGTATTGTTAACAATATTGTTGAACCTTGTTGAACCATCAAATGCTGTTGCAATAATATGTTGCGCGCGTCAACTGTGCATGGCAACATTGATGATTCAACAAGATTCAATAATATTGTTAACGACACTGTTCACAGGGTGCAGCACAACATTGTTCACTCTTGATGCGACAACCTGATCAATTTGTGGCCATGTAATTGCGAAGATCGCACAAACACATCATGCAGGCATGAAATTTCACGTAACAAATTAAGAGATGCCTGCCTAAGTACAATTTTCATACCAAGTGTACTTGCATAGCAGTGCGATTGTTTATCATTTTCAAAGTATATCCTAGAACTTACATTTACCATGCACTGCAACTATTTCGAAGGCATTTAAACCTTTAAAATGTAGGTAATATACTCGATGTATTCGAGTTGTGGTAATTTACTCTGACTAACGGTAAATTCATTGGCAACACAGTGTTAAGTAAAACTATACTAAATTACTAGATTATTAATGATGTGGTCGCTTTAAGTTAGTTAATAATTGTACTTTACTACCTCAAAAGTAAACCAAGCATCTTCTCTGTGACTTTTCGGGACTTTCAGAACGTTATATGACAAACCTTGATGCAAGGATGCTGTGTTCGCACGTTTTGACGTAGTTATTTCTATATATTTTTAACGTAGTTATTGCCAGACAGACCACCTGGTGTTGTGTGTTAATGTCATCTTGATGCATGAAGGAAATTTGCATTCCAATTATATTTGCATTAACGTCGACACACACCGGACGTGATCCGCCAATGCGACGCGATTTTTACAAATTTTTCTGTTCCAGAAGCTGCTAACTTTGAAAATGTTGTGATATTCTTGGTAATTACCGAGTGATAGTACATTTTGACTGGTCTGGTACCCATATCTCTAAAGAGGTTCTTTCAGAATCGAATCTATATTTGCTTTTGAAAATGGAAATTCACGTCGCGTTAGGGAATCGCGTCCAGTGTGTGGACCTTTATTGTCATGTTGACTTGTGCGAAACGAAACATATACTTTAGTCGCCACGTTTTTACAGTGTTTACGATGCTGTACAACATATTGCGACGTTGAAAATACGTTAAAATTAAGGATAAGCCGTTCGGACTCCTGTTATTGGCATTTTTCCTACCAGAGAGTCAACAATTGCTTTCCGTAGCATAGACTACTTAAGTCTTTTGCTTAGCCTAAAACGTTAAGATGCCTTTTGCCGACAAGAATGTGTTTGTATTGAAAATTAAGTCTAACATAGGTTTAAAAGCAGTAGCGGCGAGCACGCGGCTAAGGTTTTTAGATTATTAACTAAAATGTTAATCAGTCTTTTATTTGTCGTTTTTATAATATGCCCTACTTTTTACCCGTTTTAATATATACCGAAATGGTCGATTATATATGTCAAACACTTAGATGTTACCATGGTTTTATTTCAAATGCTTTTTTATGCACTTCAACGTGGCGCTTTAATTAAAGAAGCGTTGCGAACTTTGTAAATAATGTAAATAAAAAAACGCGCTTTTAAGAGTTTTGTCCCTGAAGCTCAAGTTATTTAAATAGAAGCATGTTTCGCGTTTGACGAGTGTGGGTCAGCTGTGTGATTCAGTTAAGCTTGGCCCCAAAAACGTTATTTTACAAGAGGTCATTAATACTTCGATCGAAGTTTGTTTGCCTGAGTCAGTTTGATCGATCGATCATAAATTCTGCGCGCGCATGGATCCATGTTACTCCGATGGCCTTCTGTGAAATTGAGAGTTAAATCAAGTTTATGTCGAAAAGGAATTCGCTGAAATTTGCTTTCGTCATCCAACCTTTACACGATAGATCTTTATCAACAGAATAATTTTGAAAAATTCTGTTTATATCTGCGATATAAACTTTATAAACTTCACTAGCGGTTGTTTTAATTGAAACGTCTCTGTTGCCATAGAAATGGTTGCTAAGTGCAAGTTCTGTATAGATTTTCGCTCGAGAAACATTCCCGGAAAGGTTTATTAAATTTTAGTTTTTAGCCAGAAATTTAGACGTTTGAAATCCTTGTTAAAAATGTACATTTAACCAATTCAAGAAACTGTAGCAAACCGCATTGAATAAGAATTTTGAAGTAAGGAGCCGGTTGAAAGTCGAAAGGCTCGGTATAACGCCATTCAACATTGAATTTTTCGACAATGAAATGAAACGCTGAAATGAAACACTACTGAGCGACTGCATGCATGCAGCAGTATATATAACCTGGTTCCCAATAATAGACCGAACATTACCTCAAACTTCTTGCGACCATATTCTCTCTGCAATGACGTTTCTAAACTTCTCATTTGCTGTTTTCAGGAAGTTGTTAAATATGCTTTGATGCTTTGATGCATGTTGTAGTATGTTGTCCGTTCCTTTTGAACGTAACTGTTGACATAGACCATCTGCTGTTATGCAAATATGGTGTTAAAGGAGTAAAATTTCACGTTCATATTTTGTCTGCCTGATAGTCATGTTGATTTATGAGAAAACATGGCCAATAAATTTGAGCATAATTTTTCTTGCAAAGTCGAGTTTCCGAGCTTACGACAACGATCGAAAGAAAAAAGTTGACTGAGAAGCTTTTCAAAGATTTGACTTGTCTTGAAGAATATAAAAAGGACTCATTACTCAGTAATTCGAAAGTTTTTAATTTTAATTTCTGTTCACTTTAGTCCTTATTTTGTCTGAATTAATGTACATCTTTCTACTTCAGCTCTTTAAAAACTATATTGGTAGCTACGAAACAGGCTTCTAGAAATAGAGCAAATTTGGACATATCAATGCAAAAGAAAATTCTTTCACATAATTTCTGTATTGCACAACTAAGAAATATAGTTCACATGCGACCGGGTTTTTTATTATTTGTCCAAATTAGGTAGCGTTTTCTCATCATTACCACCACCGCCTAACACGCTTCCTCTGGCCTCCACCGGCTCTCTCTGGCTACTTCCCCCTGGCACACTTTCCTGTCTTCCACTTCCATGCGATACTGGGGGCATTGGGCGACAGTCGTCTCCATGATAACCTTCCTCACATTCGCAGGTGAAACGTTTCCAGGGCTGATCAAGCGAGGGCATTGGAATACAAATTTTTTTCTTCGGACAGATTCCTGACACTTGACAACAGTCGTAGCTCATGTAACAACTCATGCCGGAACAATGGAAACTCTAGAAAGAGAGAATGACCCTAAGATTTGTCCATGGAATGTCCTGGTAAAAAAGAACATAGCGCGAGAAAATGGAAATAGCCACGTATAGTATACAAATAAGTTATAGGTTTTTTCAATGTCAATGACTTCCAATATACGAACAAATTTGAGCAGGCTATATTGCTCAACATAGAATATTCGTTACAATTGAATTCTTCGCTTCTTGCAGAAATGTAGAAGTACCAGGCAAAAGACAACGCGTTAAACGAGTTCATTAACATGCACGATTTTCACTTATACTATAGGTGGGGGCAACTTTTATCCATTTAAGCAGTTTGTCTCGACCGCAAGGGCTAACTTTTGCAAACGTCGCGTGCGTAATAGGCAATAGCCAATAGAAAATTTATTCAAAAGACAACATCGCGTGCTTTTTGCTTGAAATTTTATCATATAAACGCTTGGTAAAGTTTTCCCAGGGATGTTTCTGGTACCCAAAATCTCATAAACAGCGCCGGCCTTACTATCGTTTCTCTCTGCCAATAAAAACATGTTAATTAGGGCAAAGCAACTCTAAAAATGCATGCACATAATTATAATACCTGAAAACTCAAGTCTGAATGTTGTATCTCGTACGTAGCATAGACGCAGCTCTCATTGTTATGAAGCAATGCACTGTTTTCTTCCTTGTGACTTAAACACAGTTGACATTTTGTATTTTGGCAAATTTGAAACGACTGACATCGACAGTCCTCCAGGCAGTGTTCCAGACAATCTGCTATGTTTCCATCTTTTATCCGGATCGTTTTAATGAAATAAGATTCGTCAAACGCCTTGTTATTGTCAGCTTTTATGGTAAATTGTGGTTGACCGTTGAGGCCTGACGCGCTGGTGTTAGTCAGTGTTGCCAACACGAGGAGAACGAAACTATAAAATACAAACGTGAAGGTCAACACACACTGAATGCCACTCGCCAACGCATTTTTTTCACGCGAACCTTTCTCAGTTTGATATTTTTCCCAGATATGTTTAAATATACTATCAAGAATATGCAACATGATCAAACATAGTTGCTATTGATTACTCAAAAGTTCATAAAAATCTCGTCACGGTTGGCAGATAGGGTCCGGTGTTTGTCGGCCTTGAAGGTTGGCTTTTAACATAGCACTTTAAACCATTATAGGATTTGTTCGGTTGAACGCCAATAGCTATACTGGATATATATAACGGGTTGTGAGGAAGCATCCCAAGCAAGAAACTTGTGGAATTTGAATGCTCACGAGTAATCTCCTGAAATCCTAGGCTAGTGTTTGGACGCCAAATATACTTCAGAGTTTTAAGTATTATATGCAATTATGCATGCATATGTGAACGTTCTAATCATCTTTTTACAAACTAGAAATTTTTACATAAAAACTAGAACTTTTTACAGCAGTGGTCTTTGACAGGTGTAAAAAATAATAGCTATTAAAACAGATCTTAGCAAAATCGAGGGTATGATGCAGGCAGGATATATAAAGACATTTGTTCTGAGAATTCTGACAATGTAATCGATTCTACTCAGCCACGAAGAGCATGCAGGGAACTTAAACACAATTAGATAGTCTGGTTGCCGTTAAATAAACTATTATGTACTTTACCTCAAACATCGTCCAACCATCTTTTCTCGTCTCTGAACTTTTTGACTTGCTGTTTCAGTCAAAATGTTTTACAACATGCGTTGATGTATGTTGTGTTCGTATACCTTTTAAGTAACAATTGACGGGTTGATTGAGGTCCACCTGGTGTTTATGTTAATACAGTGTTGATCCAATGAAGAAAAAACATTTTCATTTTATTTATTCTTTTGCCATGTTCATTTGTGCGAATCGAAATATCTATTGTGGTCGCAACGTTAGTGAAGAACCCTTCTCATTCGGTTCAGCTTTCCCACTCAAAAGTATGCCAACAATTCTTTCGGACGTGTGTACCATCGCTATGATCGAGTTTAATCATTAAATTGCTGCTCTGATGAATTTAAACATGGCCAGAATTCGCGGATATATGGAATATGCAGATTGCCGTAGATAATTTGCATATAATATATAATAATAGTAATATTGTTAGTACTTTGAATTATACAGTTTAAGTGGAAGTAGAGTATTAGTTTTGTCCGAGTATTCTAGCCCTAAGTTCAAATGAACGGCAATTTCGATAATTGAGTTGAAATGAACCCACCGTTAAAACTAAATATTGCCTTTTTAACCTGCTTAATCTAGCTACTAAAACGGGTAAACAAAAACCGCTTAAAATGTAGCCAGTTTTGATGCATGCTGCAGTTTAATTATGCACTTAAAACTTTTTGTAAACTTTGTAAATATTGCATGTAATAAAATAAGACGCACCGTTTAGAGTTTTTTTGCGTAAATAAAGCTTGAATTTGAGTCAAATGAAGCTCCATCCATTACAAAGTATCAGAGTTTATGGTTTTAAAATAGGCATCTCTGCCAATGCAGTTGCGTCACACAATTTTATGCATGGACGCTGACAGCTCTCGGAGAAGTTATAAAATATTCATAATGCGATTATGTGCATTAATACGATCGCATGAGAGAAAACACAACGCCAGTTTTGTCGGAATGATTCGAGGAAAATTCGAAAAATCATTATGGCAGGGAAAAAATTTCTTGTAGTCAGTTTTCCGAATTTTCAACCGCTAATAAGAAATTTGTCGACGATGACGTCTATCTGGCTTTCCGCCTCGATGTATTATAAAATTACTCCATATATATATTTATAACGAATGCACTATACATGATAAAGAGAAAATATCCTAGCATCTTAGCTATTTTCCATTTTTCAATTGCAGCGTAGATAAAACACAGTTCGCTTCAGGTTTGGCGTTTGCCGGGATTAAAAATAATATAACAAATTAAATGTTGAAGATCACAAATTTCTGTCATTTAATTAACGACACCTTGCAAAACTTCAAACAAAAATCCTCGACAGTTATAGCTATACTGTAAGTCACTACGGTAAAGGGCTCTCGTGCAAGATATGTCTATTTAAAAATCGTGAAAAATCAGTTTCATCCAACCATACCGTAGACTGTAACTTTTACATATCAGTGTAAAAAAATCTTACGATTACGGTTGCACTTACTTACCAAACCACAACTGATTCGTGGAGTCGGTATCATATACACAAGCATGCACATTTTTAAGACACTCATAACCGGCGCTACGAGGAGAGCTTTGAAAATACTGACTATAAGTAGGACAAGGCATATAACCAGTGCTTTCGACATGAACATGTAAAGGCCAAGATGATTGATGGAGCGTTATTTTGCAATGATCCAAATTAATTGCACCAATTTTTCCCCGAGGGGAGAAAATAAAACTTGTTTTTTTGTTGAGATGAAAAATATCTTCTTCTTGGCCACGAGGAACCTGAATATCTCTTAGTGGTACTTGAAGGAAGTCCGAATTGCAGACGTTATAGTGTTTCTCGTAGTCACAGGTGAAACGGAGAAAATCTGATTTCCGTTTGATAGATTTCATCTTATCTTTGTCAAGTCGATAACCGTTCCATGCAATTTCACTTTCTCCATGACCAAAATTTCTAAATAAAGGCTTTTGAAACTGCCGAGAATTAGCACGGCTGTACGACTGCACCAGAGTCCAGGCACCATCTGAATCAAAATGGCAGTAAACTTCATACGCTCGTTTGCGAGAGTCCAGTATTTTATACTTGCCAGATTTTCGTTGACTATTTGCGTATCCAGCGCATGAATTGATTGGCTCGCTACAGCTGTCTCCATGGTAACCTTCCGGAAATTCGCAGGTGAATCGTTTCCAGGACGGACCAAGGAGGCTCGAGTTCTTTGGTTTACATTTCTTGTTCGTAGGGCAGATCCCTGATACCTGACAACAGTTGTACTTCATGTAGCAACTCATGCCTAAACATTGATCATTTTCATTCTAAATTAAAAGAAAGAAAATGCGCTTAGAATTTTTCATGTTTTTCAAAAGTGTCATAAGAACAGAATATAGGAACAGAATATCCCAATATTATAGTTTATACACTCCTTTTATCAACCATAATGCGACACATTACAGTTGCGTTGCAGCTGTACAGCTAATCCATCCTAATTAGCTTATTTAGATAAAATGCTAAAAGCCCTAATAGCTTTAATAGTACTTACGGCTTAAATAGATCAAATTGCAAAACGGTGTTATTATTACAGAATTATTACAGAATTATTAAAATTTATATAAATATTTATATAGAGGATTAAAATTATTGACTATACCAAGCAAATTTTCTACAGTTTTAATTTTTTACTGTTTTTTTGTAGTCTTAATTGCTATATCCATTATAATTTCATCTTCCTTCCTAATTTTGTTTCAATTTGCCGATTTATGCTTGATCGAAAACGGTAAAATTTGCTCCGAAGTTGAAATGAGTTATACTTGTCACTTATAAGAATTCTACTCCTAGCTACTTGTTGAATTTAAAAACATGGAGTGTGACTTCTGTGAAGTTTCTAATATCTATTTATTACAAATACCGAAATGCCCCCTAAAATGCTGAGGAGGAGATTGAGAAAATTTTCAATTGCGTTTGCTTAGTGCGTAAGATTTTTCTCTTGATGCAGTATTTGATGTAAAATGTACGAACAGAAAATCTGCATTCGCATCATTTGGCTCTGGTGATACCTGAAATGTTTCGATGAAATTTCGCATCTCGTACGTGGCATAGATGCAGCTCTCATTCTCATGAAGCAAAGAAGTGTTTTCTTCCTTGTGACTTGAGCACAGTTGACATTTTGTATTTTGGCAAATTTGAAACGACTGACATCGACAGTCCTCTAGGCAGTGCTCCAGACAATCTGCTATGTTTCCATCTTTTATCGTAAACGTTTCAAACAGACATGATTCGTCAAACGCCGTGTTGCTGTCGGCTTTTATGGTAAGTTGTGGTTCACCGTTCATCCCTGACGCGCTGGTGCGAGTCAGTGTTGCCAACACAACGACAATGAAACTATAAAATAGACACAAACATTGAAATACATAACCAAATCCAAGTCATTATATAGTCAATTGCGCAGCTGAATGTTGAAAGCTATATGCTGAATGTATATATTAACGCCATCCATCATTGAGAACAAGTACAACATCAGTATCATTATCATTAAAACAGTGACATTTAGGAAGTAAACGTTGATTAAGGGTTTTGGGGAACCATCCCGAGCAAGAAACTTCTCAACTTTTCCGTTGGAGTAATTTCTTTGGCCTTTGTTCAGTCGTTATTATAAATTATATGATTATGCGTAACGAAATATTTTTTCAATTCCCCACTCCGAAATTTTTACATGAAATGAACTTACCGCAATAAGCTTTAACACGTGTAAAAAATAAAAGAACTGAGGGCATTATCAGCCGAGCCCAAAATATATTTTATAGGCATTCGTTCCGGGTCTTATGACAATGCTATCGACCCTACTCCGCCACGAAGATCAGTGAACAGAACCACATTTTAGACCGTGCGGTTGCCTTTAAATAAACTATCATGTACTCTACCTGAAAAATCTTCCAACCATCTTTTCCCGGCTCTGAACTTTTTGACTTGCTGTTTCAGTTAGAATGCTTTACAATATGCCTTGATGTATGTCGTGTTCGTACTTTTCAATTAAGTAACTATTGATTGGTTGATTGAAGTCCACCTGGTGTTTATGTTAATACAGTGTTGATCTAATGAAAGAAAATCGTTTTCATTTTATTTACTCTATGCCATGTTCACTTGTGCAAATCCAAATATCTATAACCAGTCTTTGGTTCCTTTTACTGGCATCCTTCTCGCGCTCAAAAGTATAGGAACATTTTCTTTCTATTCTATTACATCAACCACTTTGACATATAAGTGTAACATTGCTCTCTAAATACTTGACGTGTTCCGTTCCATGATGTTGGGGCTAACTTCTGTCGGCTTCCGCTATTCGCGTCTCATTCTGTGACGTCACGGAAAACAATTCTCCGACTGAAATCTTCAAATCTAACTAACTAATTAATGCATATGGCAGGTATCGCCAGTGATCTCACAATTTAAATATGCATACTTTTTACTGGCGGGAAGGATTCTTTGAATAAGCCTAGACGAAGAACATTTGAAAAGAATACCATTTGAAAAGAAAAGAGTCAAACTTTTCTAAGAAAATTTCCTTAGATGTGAGAACACTGGGTATCGCATCGTTTTAAAGCAAATTTTTACATTCAAGTAATTATCATGACAGGTGTTTCTTATCTGATCCGTGCCAATGCAGTGACAGTGTAAACGGGGCTTTAAATACGTTTTAGATAATATGGCATTGTTTTTAATTCTCTGATTTGATGTGATTTCTAATTCAACCGAGATAGCCATATTGATTGCATAAGATCTTCCAAAACGGAATTCGCAAAAAGAAACTTTATATTATACCCAGTGGCGTAGCCAGCCTGACGATTTAGTCATGCTATGCAAATTTTGTTTATTATCATTATTCATTTCTTTACTGAGAAATTCATTGTTTTCACATTTGATGAATACCAAAATATTAGCATAGCATGACTAAATTGTCGGGCTGGCTACGCCACTGGGTATACAAAACCAGTACTTTTGTTGGCATAGCGTTCTGTAAAATAACACTTTTTCGCGTTTAGTTGTCTTCCGCGTGAAACGAAATTAAAAAGAAACAAAATAAATAAAT